TGTTAGGTTACCTTGTTTTTTTTTTTAAGGTTGACGGTTGAGGAAATGAACAGAATGAACGAAAAATAAAACAAGGTAACCTAACAAAAAAGAAACTAACGATACGTGAGGCAACCGTTTGTTGTGCATCAGCTGAGACGAGGGAGAGAACGAAATCTGGATAATGTGCTTCAATACTGCTCAAATGTGCCATTCTTTAACAGTAGTTGATCCTTGATCCTGGCTGCACGATACTTACGGAAAACCATGAGACAAAACGGAGCGCAAAAGTCACTGGAAAACACAATCGACACTCCTTTAGTTTGAAAAAAATTGAGCGCCGAGCGATGCGCGCACGAATCACAATCACGTCGAATGGCGGCAGATGACCTGGTGGTCCCGGCGACGAGTTGTAAACAAAAAAAGCTTAATCCACACCGTTACCACCTCACCACGGACACACCCAGGCATCGAATTACATTGGAGTGACATGCGATTCGACACGTGTCTGGCTCAATGTCACGACTGTATGATGAATACGTGTGTGCGTCTAAAGGAATGACTAGTCAGTCTATTGGATGCAATCGATCGAGTAACCGATGGATTTGGAATGTTCGTTTTTATTCCGATTTGGAGATGTGCAGTTGGATGCTACGTGAAAGCCTTCAGTTGGAAACATACCGATCACACTTGATGCACAAGTTCGGGGTAGGTTGTAAGAGTCAGTGGGCAATGAGCAGGATTCAACAGGAATTTTGTGCCTCGAATAAGACGACAATATGAGTGATGGTTTAGGTAAGCAAGACTTTGGATATCATGAAACGAAATCGGTCGGTCCGAGGGGCGGGAGAAGAGTATTAACAGTAACATTGAGCACCTATTATGCTTTTTCACATTTTATCTTCAATAATCCCTTAGTCATGTTGTTGCCACCGAAAATGTTTGAAGAACCAATTGATTTTTTTTCGCAATCATAATCCTTGGGCGGGGGAAAGCGCTAAAGGTCACCACATTATCACCCAAAGGACGTGTTTTCGAACCAAACCACTATCACCTGAAATTCCCCGTTCTCCGTGTGCTGCATGGCAGCACGGCCAGTTCCGCATCGTGAAAATCGTATCAATAATAAAAATAAATCGAACTCTAAGAATCCCAGAGTCATCATCACTAGCTAATTTGTGGGGGGAGGGTCGTTTCATTCACTACGCACAGGGTGAACAATCAACGTTTGGAACCGTTTTAGATAACTTTTCAGTCAGTTTAAGTAACCTGGGTGAGTGGATCATAGCGGTTGAATCCTCGTGGGCCAAAGAGAATGCCCAGAATATACCGCACTAAACAGCACCGTCGTCGTCGTCGTCACTATCCAGACTCCCATTTCCGGTAGGATTGACGAGATTAAACGCAAATAGAGAAGTGGCTTCGAATATACACAGCACAGACGCACTTAATTCTTATTCTTTGAACGAGAAATCGCAATTGGGCCAACAATCAGACACTTGATCAAGAAAGTCGGAGTGATGGAACAAGTCAAGACACCTTCAAGAAAATATGGTCTGAACTTCATGTTGTCATCCCAAATTAAAATTGCGTTAGCACTTAACAAAGTGATCACTATCACGACACATAAATCATAGAAGAAAAAGGGTTATACAGTCCACTTTTGACAACGATGAATTAGGCACTTTCTTTGCAGCAGTTTTGGTTTCCCATTTCGATTTGGGAGTAGAGGAAAGTCTGGAATAGCGGGAGCAAAATGAATTTGAAGATGGTGAATTGAGTTAGGCTGAGGTTGCACAGAGATTGAAAAGATGTATGAGCGCTACTGTTCCCATACCCGCATGCCAGGTTTCAGTTTTTTAGCCTTAGCCCTTCCATCCACTACTGAAAATTGTACGCCGAGAAAATCTTACTCGCACCACTCGAACTATACTGAAACGATTGCTACTTACTTCACACAGGGCAATATCGTCTGCATATTCCAGAAAAAAAAGGCTCCCACCTGGTAGCATTGTGATGCTATTGGTCTCGCGCAAGGACAGGACTATTTACTGAATGACCAGTGAGAACGGCAGTTTTGAGTTGATTCACGTCAGGGGTAGGTTACTTTTTATGAGAAACTTATATGATGAACAGCAGACGAGCTGAACCCCATGGCAACCGGCAACCTAAGCCCTGGGACTTGGAGTGGAGTACCACATAAAGCCCCGGTAGGTCAGGCGTGGTATTGAACCAGACGACGGCAAAGCTGTCTACCACCAAAGTTGGATGGCGCTGACGGGACTCCAACCTCGGACCATAGGGTCCAAAGTGCGTTGGTGACAGCGACTAAATGACTACGCCACCACCAGCTGTCAATGTGATCGATTTGAGACTATCGCCGCGAAGAGTTCGGATGTTCGAAATGGAAGGCAATATCGTTCCTTGTGGGAGAAGTTCATACAGAATGGGAACAATCAGTAGTCGGCATAGAGTTGAAGTTGTCTGTCCATTTACGTGGGACTGCATTTGAGTCACCTAGAAGTCTGTCTGATTCATCCAGAGATCTCACATGAGCATTGAAGTCGGTTGATGCATACACGGATACGACGAAAGAACAGCTACGCCTCATTCTGTTGATGTTGAAATGCACTGAATTGTGGAGACATTTATTGATTGCATAGTAGGCAACGGACAGGAATTGAACCAAGAAATGAACACAGTCTTGACAGTTGGCACATCTCCACACCATCAACACTGCGAGGGTCAGGTGCCGAATCGCTGGACACACTGAGAATGAAGCGTCGTATGACTGAAAATATTTATCCGCCTCGATGAAAGACAATCCGTGTTTCCTTGTCCTCGTTATTCCTTTAGGACGCAAAAGCATGACTTAAGCTGGATTTGACTGTACTAAGTAGGATAAAACAATTGGGAAAAGTTAACGTCAACTCAGTTGCAATATTTGTTATCTCTATCTCAGGCCAGGAGAAATCGCGGTTAGATGCATCATTATGACAGAGTGAGAGTATAGGCACAACTTACCACCTGGAGGCACACCGAACGGGGCGCACTGAGAAGGACGTGAAGACCATAGGTTTATGACCGGTTGAATGGCTCCTCCCGGTTGAGCTGGTGCAACGGGAGTGGGAACGAACGGGTTGTTTGATGAGGCGGACAGAAATCCGGTCGAGTTGCTGTGGCCCATATTCATCATCATGCCGGATGAGACTGGGTGATTCGCTGTTGTTGTTGTTGTTGTTGTGGTAGACGGCGGTTCGGAGAAATCTGTGCACAAAATCGAAAAACCCGGGGGGGGGGGGAGGGGGGGAAGAATGCCGACCAATCAGGAACGATACAAAGGTAGTTCTATCACATTCACCTTGCGAATGTTTAGAATAAAAAACCGGTCAGAATTCCTAACAAAATACGCGGTATTATATTATCACATCTATGGATAATTTTGTGGTTATAAAGCTGAGTAAAGCACTATCGCAAATTGTTAACAAAAAGGGGAATTGCATTGTAATCTCTTAATTGTCGATTATGGAACCCGATGGATCAGTTCCAGTTCCAGTTCATACAACCATTAACCATGAACTTTCGTGTGCCGGTATTGGTTGCTGTCATTTGGCTGCCCATTTGGAAGAACATTAGGAGAAAGATAGGAAAGGTTGAAAGTAAGATCGAAGATAAAACTGAAAAGTTCAGTAGACAAATGATACAGAGAAATTGAGAAGATGCACAAAAGCCACTGTTTACGACACCCAGCCATATCAATCAGTGTCTCCAACCATCAGTGACCATCATCTCGGGGTCCCCAGCCAGAGAGCCTAACGGGACCTATGTAACCCACACTACTGGTTAGGGTTTTCATACCCTCTTGCCAGGTCTTAACTTGACCACCCTTGGCTTTCATCCACCCACTGCCTACCTCGGCAAACATTGCTCGCCGTGGCAACCTACCTGGTGACACGCGTAACACATGTCCCAACCAGCGTAATCTATGCAGGTCGACCACTTGCTCCAGTGGGCCACCGCGGATACCCAAAACTATACGTCTAACCTCAGCATTGCTCATCCGGCTACCCCACCAGATTCCTGCAATGCTGCGTAGACAGCGGTGTTCAAACACCGATAGTCTATCTTTATCCGGTTTTTCTTAATGGCCAAGTTTCTGCTCTGTATAGCAGAACTGGCCGAACTAAAGCGACATAATCTCGACTCTTCATAGACACCCGGATGTTGCGACGGCGCCAAGGATGCCTCAAGTTGGCAAATGCCAACCGAGCCTTCTGTATGCGAGCTGACACTTCATCCGTGATGCATCCATCGGGTGAGAGGTAGCTGCCCAAATAACAAAACTTATCCACCTGCTCCAATACTTCTCCTGTTAAAGGGAGTCTGGGTGATGGACCGAACCAGTTATGTAGTAGCATTTTACACTTTGGAGGTGCAAAACGCATACCAAATATGGCTACACTGGCACTCAAAACATCCAGAAATGTTTGCAACTTACATGGATCTTCACTTTGTAGCACAATGTCGTCTGCGTACTCCAGATCAGACAGTCTGCCTCCTGGGAGTAAATCGATGCCACTATCCTCGCACGAGGATAGGGCTGTTTCCATTATCAGATCTTAATAGAAATGGAGAGAGAGGGCAACCCTGTCGAACACCACTTTCCGTGGTGAACTCGAAGGAAAACGTGCCGTAAGCTCGGACTCCAATTCGGTTATTAGTATAAAGCGATCGTAATATTGAAATTAACTTCTCGAGCACACCTTTTAGAAAAAGGTAGCGCCAGAGTTTAGAGCGGCCGACTGAGTCGAAAGCCGCTTTCAGATCTAGGAAGACGGAGATGGTGGGTCTACGGAAAGAATGTCAGTGCTCCAGAATTTGGCGCAGAGTGAAGATGTGATCGATACAACCTCGACCGGGTCTAAAACCAGCCTGGTTCTCACGCATGCACCGTTTACAAGCGGCAGACAATCGGCGGACTATGATGCCAGCGAGAAGTTTAGAGACGATGTTAATTAAACTAATTCCTCTATGATTTTCACAAGAGGGTCTATCACCTTTCTTGTAAATCGGTATGATCACCGACTCACACCTTTCAGCTGGAACCCGATGGATGCCACGCCTCGGGCAGGTATTGTGAATGAAAAGGAAGAAAGCAAGCGATAGGTTTCGATCAATTAAGACTAGTTAGAACAGACTACGAGGCTCTGTTACGATTTGGGGGTCTAACGTGATGTTTAAAAACTACATGTCCACTACCCCTGTGTTGAAGCTAGATGGGCAGAAGTTAACTATTGTGGATTGTTTTCCCCGTATATCGGTAGTTCCGTCAGAAATGAGGACAGAGCAGTTAGAAAGGTGATCACATGCGTATTTAGAGTTAGTGTGATGATGAAACACACATTCTTTGTTGAACTGAATCCGCACTCAACGTAACGCCAATGTATCTGCACTAGGTTGCAGAACGGGTGGTTCACATCTATACAGCTCACATGAACATCCTTACCGAGTAACGCCAGCGCCTGATTTCCATTGACAGAACCGAACTGGTTTCCGGATGAGTTTGGCCACGGACTAGCCGTGGAAGGTTGAGTTCCCCAAAATGACCCAGGCTTGAACGCATCCGGTTGGGTGGACGCGTTCGTTTCACTTGATAACAAATCCACAAATTCCGCATCCGTGGAGAGCTGTTTCAGTTTGTCCTGTGCAGCACGCATATCTGCCTCAGCACCGGAGATCGCACGCTGACGTGCGTTGGACACAAACGACTCCAGTCGGGCACGTTCTTCCTCGATAATCTGGCGACGTTCGGCCTCGGTCAGAACAAAATCGCCGGATCCGGTTTGGAAGGGCGTGTCCATTGGGGGTCCCGACGGGTCAATCGAGTCCCGTGTGAAATCGGGGCCGGAGCGATTCAATGTGCTCGAACTGGAACTGGTTGGATTCGGACTGGGTGTTCTGGAACGAATTCAATATGAGCATGGAAAATGATAACTGTCGTCTAGACACAATCTTGCAGAATGAATCCTTCATTCATAATTTACAAATTGATAAACGTATGCAGTGGAAACGATTAAAAACTGAGACGTGAAATGTTGCACCTCTCAGTGTTTCCGATACTCTTTCTTTGTTGACATATAAACCATATGTTCGTAAACACCACATCACGGAATTAATTCAACCATTTTATTCAACATCACGATAGTTAGACGTGGACGATGCAAAATGTGTCCACTTCCCCAGTTACTGTGAGGTTGAGAGCTGGACCAAATCAGTCCTGCTGTGACACCCGGAAGTTGCAAAGCATAGATCGAAATTCCCTACACCAGCACTCGAACTAACCAAAAAAGCTCGCAACTTATCCGGATCTTCTCTTAGCAGTACAATATCCTCTGCATACTCCAAATCAGACCATACCACCATCCGCGCACGAGGGCAGGGTTGCTTCCAAAATCAAATATATAACGAAGTTAAATAGAAATGGAGAGAGGATGAGGCAGACAAACATCACTTTTAAAAGTGAACTCAGGCGAAAAGGTGCTGTAAGCTCGGACTCGGTTCCGGCTATTAGTATAAAGGGATCGTAATATTGAAATAAACTCCGCGAGCACACTTTTCAGAAAGAGGCAGAACTAGAGCATGGAGCGGTTGACCGAGACGAAGGCCGCTTTCAGATCAAGGAAGAGATGGTGAGTCTACGAGAATTTCAGTGTTCCAGATTTTGACGATGGGTGAAACTATGGTCTATACAACCTTGACCAGTCTGACCCTCACGTCTCAGGTGCTGCAGACAATTGACAAAGTATGACGCCAGTGAAAAAGTTGACGAGGTATTTCACAGAGACAGGTTAGCATAACAATGCAGATTCCAAAACACTTACTTGTCGAGTGTCTTGGCACCACCCTCAATATACGCCAGGTGTTGTTCTAAGGCCTCCAGCACGGATTTAGGTACCTGAAATTAAAAAAAGTCAATTTGAAAAAGAGAAGACAGTGAAAAACGTAAATCATTATTAATCGTTCCTGGGGAGTAGACTGAATAGGTTGAAAAAGTAGATGCTACGTTTAACGTATTCCAGAACACGATAACAACTGGTTTCTTTGAGTACAGGTTAGAGAGGCCGCTACTCAGGTGGCCGAGATAAACACTTTCATTAGTCTGATTGATTCATTCCGAAAAATCCACATAATAGGATGTTCGTACTCAACTACCAGCAGT